AGTAAAATGTAATATTGTTTTGTGTCGTAGGTGCATGAAATGCATTTATCAAGTTTTATTAATAGTTTATTATTAATAGTATGTATTTATTATTCGTACTTTAATTACACAAAAAGAAGAAGGAACAAGCATTCCTCACAACTTCAGGATACTAACAAGCGTCAAAGACCAATGCACTAAGTGTCTCTAGGCTCAAACTCAAAACGAAATTGAAATATTTTTATTTTGTCTTTTATAGAAATGTGCACTCTTCAGAAACAATGTTCGTTGCGACCTAACTGTTGTAAAATTTTTCCTATAAAATGCCCTTCACGCAATGAATGCATTTTAGCTCAGTCTAAAATTCTAACTAATTTTAAATTCTTACATTTTCGATCAAAAAGCGCAGGATGCTGAATACTGTGAGGGATTTAAATATCGACCATAAAAAATTTTTCATTCTTCAACACTTTACTCATTACTGTATGAGAATTGTGGATGGGCTCATTTCGAATTCCGCGTGCTTCCTCATTTTATTGGTGTCCTCCGCACATTTATATTATATGTGTAATATTCCGACTCCTTCCTTACTACCACTATCGGTTGGCTTAAATTTAGTATTATTCCGCACTTCAGCATTCCTATGCGTTTACTCGTTTACTAAATTTCCAATTTCACTTGCTTAGTTTCAGCGATGCCAGCTGCGAAACTGTTTCGTTTATTTTGCAAATTTGTGTGAAATTTCCGCTATTACAACGAAAATTTAAAGTGCCGACGAGGCGCTGAAGTGCGGTGAGCTCGCTCTGTTGCGTTGCATTGCTTTTAAGCCATTCTCGACATTCGTATTTGATTTCACCAAATTGCTGCGGGTACATGTTTGTTTGGGCGAGGTCAGGCATATGGAGTTTTAGAGAATACGCTTCCTCCGTAAACATGAATTATTGCTTGCGGTTACAATAGTTGGGAATTTCTAAACAAAAGGTAGACTAACCGACGGGCGTTAGTACAAGGTATGTATGTATATACAACTGTGGTACTTCTATTGGGAGGCTCCTTTGGTTTTAGTTCAATCAATGCATTTGGTAAAAGTTCGCATTGAGAGTTTTCATGCATTATTATTGTATGTATACATATAAGGGTATTCCCGTACGAATTCGAAAATATTCCACATTATTTGCTTTTAAAGCTTTAGTGATTTGCCGTTGCAACAACCGATCGGATGTAAAAGACTGTATATATAGGCGCTCCACTTAACCATTTGTGATGTTCTTGGGTGACTTTCGTTTTGGCCACTTTTGGCAGCCATCTTTCAAGCCAAAAATGTGCAAACGCAACAAAGTGTCGGTTTGGCTATTTGCCGGACATAATGCTAAGTGGGTAAAGCCATTTGTAAAACTCAAGGCACTCAACTTCGTGAAATACGGCATCTTTGTGCAGATATGTGCATAGATACATGCATTCTGCTTTCTCCATGGAAGTGCTATTCGGCCATGTTAGCAGACCTTTTCCTGATTGGAGATTGTAATTCATGGCTAAGTGGTTTTAAATTTAAATCACGTACTCAAATGTAGACACCACAAATGAGTTTTCATGGTCTCTGAAGGTATGTGGGGGTAGTTGATTTCGATTGACCGAAACTTCGAGAGTAGTGAATCGAACAAACAACTGGTATAAGTCATAAATACTATCGTTTTGAAATAGAAACATAATATGATATAATTGTATCGTTTTAATGAGGTATGCATTTACTCTCTTATCGTGAATTTAATTCAACAGTTTTCTTGTTGCTTTCACATTCAAGTCTTAAATTTGATATCTGAACGATTAGATACTATAAAAAATTTAGGTAAATATTCATAATCTTCAAAGAAAGTACTTAAACTTGTTACCTTTACGTATTCTTTACATAAGAAAATTTAACTGCTTGAAGTATAGCATCGAACACGCTCTGCTTAAAGTAAAAACAAAGCGAATTCTCGTCTCTCGACGCGGAAAACTCAATTAATAGCGCAGTTTTGGAATGCTTTTATAACAGCCATCTTGTTATTAGCAATCAAAATTGTATTGCAAATAAAATTACTAACACAATGAAATGGAGACAGCACAAACGAGTAAGAATCTGTGCGTCGATATTTATACTTTTTCATGGCCTGCCTTGTTCTCAAAGACCACAGAGCCTACTATGTATGTGAGGAGGTAGACTCATGTGTCTGCAACTACTTTAGCTGTAAGGAGAGTCTGAAGACGCTTGGAAAGCAAATATGTATTAAATATAAAAATACATATCTACGTATGTGTACTGTAGAGAAACTGAAGCCTAACTGCAGAGTTATAGTTCAGAACTAGAAAAAATTCGATGTATAACATTAAAGACTTAAGGCTTAAGCTAATTGGCACAACTCTCTTGTGTCCAAACTATGGTATGGGTAGGCAATTGTCACATTCACACTCCAACTAGTGATTGCACTGTCTTCACCAGCGGCAGATCAGCCCGAAAGTATTGCATTTTCCGGCAGAGTGTGTGAATATGCTGGGCGTGGTGAGTAATGTGTGAACAAAGTGTTACACGAACCAATGAAAGTAATAAGCTAACAAAACTAGCTGCCGATGAAAGAAGTAGTAAAAGTAAGGAAACGCTTTATTGACGGGAAGTGTTTGACCAAGTTAATGATCACGCGTATACTGTATATGTTGTTAATTGAGAGAAAACAATGGGAAACAAAAACAAAAAGTAATCATTTATCGCGACAGAAGTGTCTCAAGAGAAAAATAAATTAAATATGAAACGGGAATTTTATATTCATATTGCGTTTTAATGCACTTTCGGCTAGTCTTAAATAGTTAATACATTTTGTACGCAGGCTCTTGCTGATCAACTTGAGACAATAACGGTATGCATACATTATAATATTCACATGCTAAGAAATATGGATATTGTGTGCTTAATAACTCCACTGATGTGCTACCGAACATTCTCTTGCACTTCATATTTAATATTTATTAAAAGCCAGTGTGGAAACTTGCCGTCGGTTGCACTGCAACAGACAGAATAATAAAGTTGCTCAGTTCAATTTCTCGTCGTCGCCGAGGGCAATAACAAACTTCGTCATTTTATATTCACTTAACTCGATTTTCGTTTGTTTGGCAACAGCCTTTGAGGCCTTTACGATTTTCTGTTTCCCCATTCTTACCACAGACAAACGGCTAGCAGTCGTTTCTTCTTAATCGCGCAGACGAATGTGGGAGCAACCCGATTTACGACTTGATTACACATCAAAATTTTGTGAAAATACAATATAAAGGCACAAAATTCACGTAAAATAATATTATTAGCAATCACGTGTCTGCACAGGGTGCTTCAAAATGCTGTGCAATTTAGTATAATATTTGTGTAAAGATTTTAAAAAATTGCGGCATCTTCAGATTAAGTGAAGTGGTTGCACCATAACTGCAGGCGTGCTTGATCCGACATTGCCGCACCCTTACACCTTTCCAACTAAATAAATTCGATCCCTCAGATTTAGAAGCAATAGCCCACCGGTTGACTCATAGTGCAGAGTTGCATTGATTTTTTATCCTTGTCTGTATTCACATGCCAATCAAGAGGAGCGCAAACAAAATCACGTGTGATGGAGCGCGCAAAGAACTAAAGGTCTGTATTTTCACACTGATTGAAGGTGATAGAAAGTCAATGAAAAAAACTTCACGACACATTTACATATATATGTACATGAATACATGAGTACATGTACTAAAAATGCTCGAAGATAACGCAAAGTTCATCGCGTGACTGATGGCTCACTCACTCAAAAGAGATGATATTGATGGCTTTCAACACTGCTATTGACTAAGTGAGAGGGAATGCGGAAGTTAGTTAAAACTAAACATAGATTTTAGAATTGACAACAAAAACTTGGTGATTAAGCTAAGAAAAGATGACTTACTTAGGGGAAACCGTAGTTATTGGTTTGCATTACATTATCCTAAGCCGTAATGGTAATGAACTGTGACGAAATCTTCAAATAACCAGCAGAATTTGCTTCATAAAAAAAAAAATGTTTATTTGAGCACGGACATTAGTCTAAATATTACTATCAAACCCTTGTAGCAGCCCTCAGAAAATATTATATTTGTAGCGCTCTCTCTTACAAGTTTTTGAAGCATTTGTTAATTTCAAAGTTTTATAGTTGTATTAATTATCTTACATTAGACAAATTTTCCCTCGAGCTATCCTTATTGTGGTCGCTACCGTAGCGTGCAGATTTTTTACACATTGTTATCCAAAGGTCACTGCACCTTTTTAGAAAAACTTTGCTGCTCCACAAACAAACCATGAACAAAGAATAAATTTTTTTATTTGTATAACAAAGTACAATATATTCATTATTTTTGCAGCCAATAAATTTGCCATTTTTCCATGTAATCGAATGATAAATTTGTGGAATTTTTTCCCCATTTTTGTTATTGTTTTCAACCATCAGTGAGATAGGTGTGTCTGCTTTTTTCACTTTTTTCTCAGTAAGGATTGATTTCAGTTTGGTTGCTGTTTCAGCTGCTCAATAGACCTTATTAATGTCCATTTTCGGTATTTCGCCTGATCATGAACGAAGATAAGGATGCGAAAATGAATGGCAGCAATTAATTTCATTCTCAACAATTTTTATCGCGTTTAACATACTCTCAGTTTTATGGGAGCACTTTGTCAAATCTTATGCACATACTTGTACATATTTAATATTTTATAAATGATTTTAGTCAGTATATTTGGTTGTGTGCAGTTGAAATTTATATAGTTCGCATGAAATTGAGATCTGAAGCCATCGATAGTTTTCAATTTAATTTTTTCACAATTTTTGAAATTGTTGGTACTTGCCTTCACAAGGTTATTGCAAAAATTAGCGTGTAAAAGAGAAATGATTGGAAAAATAAATCTAGTCGTTTTGAATGATATAAACTTTTTTATTTTTTAAACATTTACAAAGAAAGTAAATGACACTTTTCAGTTTTCTGATGTCTGTTTTAATTTCAATATATTCAGTTGAGACTATTTACATTAGGTGACAATTTCATTGAGAATAATTTATGTGTCCCGTGCATTATCCAGAGGTCGATTGGTTTTGCTTTAGATACAGTTTTGCTCTGTTTGTTGTTTAAATGAAACAGTTGCAGCGGTTTTGCAGAAAGATAAAATAATCGCTCGCTACACAAGCCCGTTCGGGTGCGACAAAGTAATACAGAAATTTCCGAACAATTTCCGAAGCCATAAAATTGTAAGTGCCGATAATTGTCATTTAGGTTAAAGTGCTTTTAGTACTTTGGCTTTAGTAAGTTATATGTGATCTTATGGCACTTTTTATGAGAGTACTTATACATAACGGCACATGTACATACATATATAACTACTTACCCAAAGGATTTGTAAGCAAAAGTTGTGCGTGTGTGTGTACGGACACGTAAGAACTGCCATTAAATCGGAGCTGAAAGGCCGTCAAGCATCCGTTAAAAGTAATAAATTAGTGGAAAAATAAGGTTGTTTTATAAAATTTACATATCGTATGTATATATATGATAGTATAAAGGAACATATGTATTTACTCGGAAAGCATTGAAAATCATTGATTCCACCTCAATGCTGCATGCGACAGAAGAAATGGGTGAAAATTACACAGGGTATATTAAGTTTGCCACGATGTTTGTAACACCCAAAAGGAAACGCAAGAGACACCATAAAGTATATATATATATATATATATAAATGATCAGCGATCTATAAAGTATATATGTATATAAAAGATCAGCGAATGAGCTAAGTCGATTTAGCCATGTCCGTCTGTCTGTCTGTCCGTCTGCGTCTATACATATATATACGAAATAGTGCCTCAGTTTCTGAGAAATCGAAATAAAGTGCTTGTATGGAAAGATTTTTAATTTGACAAGATATCTTCACGAAATTTGGGTTGTTGTCCAAGGTAACGGTCCAATCTGCGAAGAAGTTGTTCAGATCGAGTCACTATAGCAGCTATACGCCGTAGAAACTGACCGATCAAAGTTCTTTTGTATTTGTGTTGGGTATTATAGCGTCAATGCAATACAGTCAAGACATTAAGAATGTTCATGTCATTAAATTTATATAATATTTTGAAAAAAATTTTTTGAACTAAATTGAAAATTTGGTTAAAAAATCAAATTTATATCTGATGACCTAATCTTCAAAAAATATCAAGAGTAAAGTGTATTCGGTTCCTTTAAATTAAATTAAGTGTGCAACCGCGCCACCTTTTCTCGAAATATTTCTTTAAAATACTCTTTCATTATTTGACGACGTTCAGTCTTGCTAGTGAATGTGCATTTTCGCAGAACGTAAATATTTATACTCATCAGTTGGAGCATTGGCCTTGTCTTGGCGTTTCTTAAAGCAATCTATGAAATTTAAAATTAACAATAGCACAAAAGCCATTGCATTCTCTTCGTTGTTTTCTTTCCATCACTTGCATGATAGGAAAAGAATTTAAAGTCCTCTGCGATAGTTCTCGTTCAACTTTCAGCAATTGCATGGAACGCTTAACACGTGCAACTAACTGTTTCTACATGTAAGCGTTGCACTTATGCAACATTCGTGATTTTTACGTCAAAATGTTAATGCACTATTCAATAGCAGCTGCGACCTGCTGCGTTGTAGATACGAGACACTCCACTCAAAATATGATTACACTTTATTAAGAGCGCGCAATGCAAACACTTGACTTGGATAATTATCAATTAAGTGGTATTTCGCCAATTTAGGGGATAGTCACAGCAGGTTTGTTTAAATTGGAGCGCATGTTGACTTACCCTAGTGCGAACGTATAGAACTTATGTGCAAAATAGCTAGTTTTTCCGGGTACTAGCTTTCTACTCTTTTCAATTAACGACAGGTCAGATGAAGGATTTTCTTTGATAAAAAATGTACTTTTACAAAGATACAAGATTTATAAAAACGTCGGCGCCAAAGTCCATAAAAGTAATGTTTATATTCGAAAGGGTATATATTTATATATGTATATTCACAAAATATTTATATAGCTGGGTATTATAGAAGATCTAGTTTAACACAAACCGCCTTATTCTAGTCTAGAATCGAAAAAATCGACAGGCCTGAAGCCTAACGTAAAATTCTAAAGACATTTTGTCGAATCTGCTTTCTTCGATGCTGCTGCCACAATATCTAAAGTTTTAATCAGCCGATTTACTTGAAATATGGCATGAATATTCTTTAAATAGTTATCCCTCTATCACATGAAGCAGAAAAAAAATTAAAAATTAAAATTGGTAATATTTTTAACAAATTCGTCAAAGCTTAAAAGTTAGTGAAAAAAATGTACCATTATTTTTGAGTAGCCACCATTTTAGGAAAAAAATTTGTTTCCAGTTTTGCTCCTTCTTGAGATAGCGACGTTCGTACCAATCAATAATCCATCATTGCTTCTTTTTTGAGATGACCACAAGAGTAGAAATCATGACGACGAGGGCACGGGATGAAATATAAACAACTTTTCAATCTGAAAGCCTAAATTATTCGAGTTTCAATTGAAAATCCTCGAAAATTGGCACACTCTAATTTTTTGCTGATTTGAAGCTCAATTATCCACTTTTTGTACACGCAATCAATGAGGACAAAAAGAAAATATATTAAAGAAACCAAAAAACATGCTGACCGAGGTCTGTAGAAGTATACAGAAACTTGAATTAATAAGTAGTAAACATGTTTGTAGGAACCCCAGTTAATCTTCTTTTAAGTTGTTACTAAATATTTATTTTAAAACGAAAGTTAATAAATTTTTTACATTCCACATCAATTTCGATCGAATTATTCAAATTGAGTTTTCGCTTACTGCCGAATACTTCCTTACTTAAGTGTAGCGAAATGTAATTGGCACAATTTTATGATTATAGATTTAAACATATTACATATGTCTTAAAACAATGTGTACTCATAAATACTAGAAGTAAGCATGTGACTCATAAATTCACAAATATTTTCAGCGACATTAAAAGCAGATGTTGCAGACAGCTTTATATACGAATCACTGGAGCGTGACTTAAATCGAGCTATTGCCCGCTAAAGCGCAGAGTCAAATGACACACACACACACACACAACCTCAGTTAATTTTATTGCAGCTTTTATAGCGGCACTATGCGGAGCATCGGATTACTCATACTCCTTTCAAGATAATAATATCGTAATACTTTAACGCATTAACATGAAAGTGTGCAAGGAATTATATTTTGTTGGCGTCTTACAGGTTCTCAGATACTGTAACACCCCGTACTCATACACAAACACAGATGCACATACACATTGCATGCATTTCCTTAACGCTTGCAAGCTTCCTGTGTACATAAATCGCCATAAAGCGGATATTGTATGTTCAAGCACGAACCACACCGACCGCCGTTAAGCAGACATGTCCATGCATGTAAGTGTATAGTATGCATGCATGAAAAAGTTATTTTAATTTTGAATATTTTTCAACAAAAGTTTCAACTTGGATTTCCAAACAGATTAACTCTTCAATTAGAGAAGCTTCAGAGAAAGCGCACTGTTTGGCTCTTTTAGATAAGCTGACGAGTTCCATTTAATATGCAGTAAGGAAGCAGACAATATTGCGGTTACATGAACGGACATTGGTATTAACGCACAACAGACAAACATTTCAGATTTTAAAAAATGTGGAGATACACAAGGATTATTAGAATTTGGAAATAAGTAATTATTTTATTAAATTATTTCAAAGTTATGCAAAATTAATATATATATATATATATATATAACGAATATATCTACGAATTTTTCCATATTATATTTGATTTCGCTTTGTCAGTGATTTTAATTTTTGTAATTGTTGGTAAACTCCTTTGAAAATTTTTAGAATAAAAGATTAATATAACAATATCTGTATTATGCTTGATTTTTTCGAAGCTTAACCATTGTGTTTGAATGCTTAATTATACATAAAAAAGTTAATACAGAAACAAAAAATGTTAGCAAGTAATTTCAACCAAATTGACAAGTCGTCTTATCTATGTGTATATGATATATATATGTGTACATTTTGCATAAATATAATATATTTTCAGCAAAAAATCATATTGTCCTTATTGCCTATAGCTTGGCCACAATTTCCGTTAAAACACTTTCTGCTTCATATTGTCAGAAATATTAGGTACGACATTCGCTTGCAATTTGAACTACGCAATAAAAGCTTTCATGCATCACTGGTTTACGTTGCAAACTTAAATGGACTCCACCACATCCATTATGCTTTGTTTATAGGTACTTTACGAATTTTTCTCACATTAATTGGCATATATTACGCCTGTCAAGCCGATACGCTGTAACTATCGCTTTATGCGTTTATACTTGTATGTATATTGCAATTTTCCTCTAACAGCTAGGTCTGATGGTCTAACTTTTATTTCTCTTTAATTAATTAATTCACATTTAGCGCCAAATCATTTACTTACGCACACACACGCACAAACACCAATTCCAAGACATTCATTTGTGTGCTCACCTGCAAGTCATGCACTCACTGTTTGTTATGATGTTATGATTTTCGCTGCGTAGACACAAATAAAATTAGCATATACGAGTACTTATTTAAGTGTGTGTGTTTGTGCACAATTAAGGCGTGTACCCAGGCGTTGCGCGCTCTATTGCGACGACTTGTCTGCCTAAATTTCGGCCGAATCTATGGTGCTCGCGCTAAATTTGACCTTTCATGCTACACATTGTTGCATAACTGAAAATAAAACTCAACCACAAATACTACATAAATACAATGACATGGACTAGCACACATTTGCAACGCACACATTCGCTGCCTATGGCAACAAAGGTATAAAAGGACGATTTATTGCTTTTCGTCTGACCATTAGCCACCATCAGACTGCTGACTCCCCGGAGCGAGTCCACATATTCGCACATTCACATGCCCCACATGTAACCATTTATAGTATGTTAATGTGTGGGGTATGTTAGAAGAGGCGATGATTATATGGTAGTAATCATTTGTCTGCCATTATTTTCACTTTCGCCGAATTTGCGCTGCTTCTCATTTCATTTCATTCATTTTTACTTTTTGCCGCATTTGCTAAAGTTGTGAAAATAAGTTAAATTTATAGCTTTTAATTTTGGCAAAGCCCCCGTCCTTTTTATTTCTCTTTTGTGCGAATGCTTTCAATCATTAAACAATATGGTAATCCTCTGCGTTAACAATTCTTTGACTTTAAAATTTTAAGAGGACTTCGTTCTTTCTTATTTCCGCCATCTTTTAAGTAATCGCATTTCCGCTATCTTCATTTATTTCTCAAGTGACCCAACCTCGTATATTTGATCTGCTTTCTGCTCTTTCTGAGGGGTAGGGAGTTTGTAACTCAAATTTCAACGCTGTTGATTAACGAAATTGAAGATAAAACGAATTGGATAAGTGAAATTTACAATTAAAATAATTAAGCCATTTTCTTGTACTAGAGGCTGTTGAGGAAACTGTGTCATATAATTATTTGGGCATAAAATTGAGATTTATATGCCAAAATCAGAGCGTTGGTTGCCTTAAAACAGTCTCGAATTTCACACAAGCATATTTGTTTCATATCAGATTTCTTCGGAAAATTTACTTACCACGTTCTTGGTAATTAAATTCAGTCATAATTTTCTGTGGTCCGTATGCTTCCTATTCTTCTTGCATGTGCTTAATTAAATCTGTGAGCGCGTCCGTTTGTGCACGCTCGTTGGCGTTGCCCTTGTGGGCGACATGGCGTATACGTAACTGACTGGCCGTGCAAATGGAAAGTTGTGTGTTTGTAGGTGTTGCGTGAATATTCCGCAACGACTCAAAACTGCTGACGACATTTTAATAAATTAATCTATGAGTTTAATAATTTTAGTATAAATGATTTTACTGGGAACAGAGATTGCTCTTTAAGAGCATTTTACACACTAAACCTATAATTGTAGCATACCAAAGGTAAGATTTATTTTATAGAAAACGTTCGTAAAAATATAACAAAAGTCCACGAACGTCTGCGAAGTGTTATCTGATACATTTTGCATGAGAATAAAAAGACCCCAAAAGTAATTTTACGAAAAGTATGCTCGACTGAATTTTTGATCAGGCAAATAAGAATATTCAGTAATTTCAATTGCGAGCACATATATATACATATATATTTCTCAATCTATATTTACACATTTCAAAAATTACATATATTTGTAACAATAACACAGTAATATTAAACCCATACATTCTAAGCTAATGATCTTACAAAGCTACATATATTTTCGATTACACTAAAGTGGACTTTGAAAAATTCAGCAATTTTTTTTTCAATTTGCAGCAGTAATAAAGTATTTTTCGCAATGCCAAATAAAAAAAAATTAACTATTCTTGATGCAGGGCGCTAGTAAAACTGGGAAATATTAGATTTTTTAAGAAAATAATACTTCAAGAAGTTCCAGCGATATTACTCTATTTAAGTAACTTTACATATAATTAGCGTACACACACACGCAAACGCAATTCATCACATATAACACATTTATATAATTTTTTTATTTTTATTTTGATTTTAGCTATATACTTGTACATATACACACACATAGCTATATAGAGATTTAGCCACAACTATTGACAGGAATCATTTACAAATATCAAGTCATTATCTCTCAATATTAGACACTGAAGATCAGTATTCGTGTTCAAGTTCCAATAGCTAACATACAAATGAATACAATATTTACACAAAAAGTTCAATTATTTACATTTTTATCATTACAACAATATATAAAATAATATTACATTTAAGTTGTGCTTAGAGTACAGTGTGTTAAAAAAGTTGTAGTAACATACTTATAATAAATTCGTTAGTTTGCGTTAAATAATTTCCCTTTACGCTTTTGATTAGCTAATGACATTGGCTTATTTCTAATATACTTTAATTTATAATATTACTAAAGATATTACTTAATACTATACATAGATGTTACAGCTTTATAATTTGTGATCTCTTATACGGAATTTTCCTCGAGTCCTTGCTGCAGAGAATGGGAGAAAGTAAACAGAATAATTGAAAAATCAGTTAAAGTCTTCCCAAACAGAGACTTTAGCAATTCGTTTGAATATATTTTAAATAAATTATCACACTAGTAGTTCAAGAACTCGATCGAAGCTCGAAAAACTTATCATGTAGAGGAATATGCAGATTATCATAACTGAGTATTTGCCTTGATGCCAATAGCTCACCTTCGCTTCGAATTTCAGAGTAGCGAAATCTTAATTATAAACCTTTGTTGGAATCTTTAAATTTTAATATTGTAACATTTTATTATTAGCAAATTGTTTTTAAATTTGAAGCAGATGAACACATTGCAAAAATGTGATTAACTATACAAACTACAAGTCATTTTATGGCTCAAAACATGAACTGTCCCCTCAAAGTGAAAAATGAATTACCGTTATATGATTAAAACTGTCATGAATTTAGCACAACCGTTTCAAAAACGCATAATTAATCTGGCTTAAAATTTAGCAAAACTGTGAGCAATACTTCGCATCTGCTACAACTTGCACAACTCTCACACAGCTTCCTTTTAAAAGCTAAAAAAAAAATTTAACATTATTATTCAAACCCGCAGCACTTTATTTTAGCTGAGAGCAAGCTGCACAATTGCAACATTGCACTATGGCACGTGTCCATCCAGAGTGCGAAATACAAATTGGAAAAAGACGCTTGGCAAGTTTCGCCGAATCCCTTGGAAATGCGTCGCCAACAACAACACTACGTCGACATATCTTCGTTTTATGCACGCGCATAGTCTATGTCTCCCGTTGCTGGGGTCTTATTCGTGTTTATATTCGTCCATATTTGTACCAACACACACACACATATACGAACATACGAAGCACATCAATGAAATGCAAATCCCGACTGAAGGAACATTGCAAAAATGCAAATTTAACAAGGCAATAAAATGACGAACTATGAAAGCGTTAAAGTTGTAAGTTGCCTGACTATCAACTTTACAGTACTACTCAGCTAACGATAACTGAAAAGAGAGGGTGTGCGTAAGAAATGGAAGTGGAAACACACCTTCATGAGCGGACTAACCGCTCGCGGCATAACGGTCAGCGCCGTTACGGTGGACATCGTTTGCAAAGTGCCGTTAGAGCTGTGCTGCAACGCCATCGCTCCGCTGATGTTCGCGTTCACACTCAGGCTTTGGTTGTGGCCCAGCAGGGTGGTGGTGGTTGCCGATGAGACGCTGGACTCGCGTTTGCCTTTGCCATAGTAAGCTGTGAGCGGCCTGCAAGGAATAAAGCAAAACAAACGCAACCAAATATTATGCGATGGCAAATGAAAAACTGAAATTGAGAAACAAACAAAGAAACAAAATTGCAAGAAAGCGAAAACAAAACAAATTTAGTGCATCTTTCATACAATTTCTGTGTTTACTACGATAAAGTGTCGTACATCTAAAATATACCATCTGATCAAATTTGACTCGGCCCATTTAAACTACGCGCGCAAACCGAATCAGTTAGTAAAATTTTATGTTCGTGTGAAGTTTGATTTCCATGTGTCAATTAGTGTGTCATTGTTTAAGCCGCAAAAACTGAACAACGAAAAACAAAAATTGAACAACGAGTTTGTTTGAAATTTTGTGTTTCCAATGAACTCACGACTATGGAATCGTTAAAAATATTGCAGAAGTGTTTTTGGGAGTCTACTTTATCACCAACACAAATATTTAAGTAGCACAAAGCATTCAGTGAAGGTCGTGAAGTCATCCGGAACTATTCTCATTTGAGCCGTCCATCCCATAATGTTAATGACGATAACAACGAAAAAAAATAAAGAAACAGTGGGTAACAGAGGATCGCAACATCTGTTATTGATCGACTCAACATATTTTGGTTAATGTTTTGGGTATGAACTAGGCTAGACTCGTACCAAAAGACCTGAATGCGCCCTCACATTCTAGCATGGTTGTGACTGGTTTTTGTCTAAACGCGACGTTTCTGTTTTCAAAACAGAAAATACGGATTAATGTGGAAAATTGGATTAATCGTTGGCATGCTTGGATCAGCTCAATAGACGGCCTATTTTGAAGGCGATAATATTAAAATATGTGAATGTATGTATTTTTTTTTTGTCAGTCTAATTTGATCGGATGGTACATAACGAAAAGAAAATATTTTCCTTTTTTCACTTCTAAATAATAATAATCGTAATAGTAATAATAATAATAATTTGCAATATATTATATTTGGTGGTCGTTTCAATATTAATATTATCATACCGTGTGCTCTCGGTTCTCGGCGAGCAATCCTTTGAGAAGCTCTTTGTGGTGTACCTGCAATGAAGAACAAACAACAACAAATTTAATGAAGCGAAAGTGTTGGGTACGAAATAAAGTGAAAAGAAACAGCATTATATAACGAGAGTTTTTAAAATAACAATTGAAAGCCCGATGTCTAGATTTCCTCGCTTAACCAATCTACATCCAGTCAAAACAGATATCTATTTATATAACACATATCATTCCCTGATTATTTAAAAGACTTAAAGATCCACTGGTGTATATTTAACGCTAGCTTTACTAACAACTACTGAGAAGCATAGATAGGAATCGGAAACTATTCTATATGCCCATACGTTTTTGGCTTGCACCTTTTCTGGTCCATTTGAAGCTGTCATTAGAAAGTTTGACATATTTTACCATAAACGCGTCAGAATGTTGAATCGAGATGTGTGAGCTATATATGGTACAGTGCTGTTATTTACAATTTTACAACAAATTTTTCGGTTTGCATATTTGCTTAAGGTAACTATCCATCACATAACTAAATCCCGTTTGCTATTCACTCACTGACGAACTTATTGAAGATCTTCTACCAGTGAAGGATACATCAGAAAAGAATATTGAAGCAAAAATATATTGAAGCGTTCTTAAGTATGTTAGCGTTAGTATGTCGAGTCGCAGCATTATATACAACTATTTGCTCATGACGACTGTTTGATGTATTTCATAGAAATAAGAAAAAGAAGTCAATCTTCCTTCACCAAAGTGACGACAATACTCACACATTGGCAGTGAGAAAGCAATTTCTGAGTAACATATAACAAATAAGTTCTCTTGTCGGGGTTTTTCTAATCGGAATAAAGGAGTATATTGTTCTCATAGAGAACATGGTTTGCAACACTATAACACTCGTATTCATTTTTTCACTGTTCGGCCAAATAATCGACTGTCAATAAAGTTTGACCAACATTAAGTGACGTGCCGAATGAGCTGAATGGTATCGTGTTAATTTTAACAGTACTAAATCTACAATGTATGTGGTGCGGCCGAACCCACCATTGACGATTTTAGCATATTGTTGGCAGTCGGTATTGTCGCTGTGGGCAGGTGCGCCCACATACACAATAACATTCCCACGCCTCGTATCATGAATAGCAAACGTGCGTCAAAGCGTGTTGTATGTTTAATGCGCGCTGTTCAATGTTACTTAATCGAAAAAACTGTTGTGACCATTTGAAACCACGTGGGTGCACTGTACAGTTGCAATAGTAGCAAGCAGATTTTTAAACATGCAAATTTTGCATTTGATATCAGTTCAAAAAGTGCACATTTACCACAAAAGCTTTACTTAATACAAAATTTACAGGAAATCAGTTTTAATTTTATTTTTATTTTTCAAAACGGAATACTTTACAAACTCCACGTTTATACAACATACATACAACGTATTTTTCCAATTATAATAGACGCTGCATACCTTCACAGGTATATGTGCACTTGGAAAATATTAACTAAGCCAATAAAAACTGCGAAAAATGTATGAACTTAGTAAATAGAAGTGTCTGTAAAATTTTGCTGGGACGCATTTGGAAATATGTCCAATTTTTTTAACACATGTACTTCGCAACGTACAATTGGCAGCAATACCCTTTCTTACAACAATAAGACACTCGTACGATGCTTACCTTTTCACACATTTTAAGTAATACGTGAGACAAAGATAACTTTATATTAGTCTCACTATCAGAAAAGAAAGAAAATCAACTATAAATTCAATTGATTTAATCAGATGAAAAGATTGCTGAGAATGGAAACGCTTTCTGCAACTGTAAAATTATCATTTGTTATAAGCGATTTTTGACGGCGTCAAAAAAATATTTTCAGCTGCTGCAGTGGTTCGGGTCATCTTCGTGGATAAAGCCTAAAAAAAACTATCTCTAGAAGATACGATCCGTGCAATGAACTACAGTCGAATAAACATTAAAAATTGACAAAATGGCGGCAATTTTAAAAAATTATGAATTTCACCCAAAATTTTGGTCGATTTTTGATCAGCTCTGATTGATGCTGATCGGATTATTAATCTCCTACTAATTACTTCAGAAAGTTCGAAAAATGCTGTTTCGAGTAACACACGTTTAAAGATAAACAGAAGAAGCTGAACAGAACGGCTAGACTTTCAAAGACTTTCAAAAAAAATCGGAAAAGTTCATTTGAAATTTTTAAGTGCTATTTTAAAAGGTATAGAATCTCGAAAATGCCAAAAATTATTTATAATCAAATTTCACACTAAGTGTGTCCCTTAAGATGGTAAAAGTATCTGCCGGAGCGTATGAGCAAAATTATTGTACCATTTTAATTTGAAAATATTATATTTCAGTTTGAGTCCTCACTTTACTTCCGTTCCTCATTTAATACTAAATTTTTCCATCCTTGGCTTCCAAATAAGCAAATACATACTTACGTTCATATATATTAATCACCTGTTTGCTCACCTTCTGCTTTGATTGAGTTGGATATTCCGCTCGTCGCGCCACCTGGAAATGTGATGCCTCAGTGTGTTTCTCACTTCGGAGTTTAGGAAACAATAGAACAATGACACTGCGAAGCCCTGTAAAACAAATACAAAAACGAAGCGAATTAAAGCCCGTTTGACGGCCAACGGATTCGTAGGAAAGACAAAAGAAAAACCACAATCCTTGCATTCGCTTTCAAGTTCGATTCATATCATATTTCACAGAAACTCTATACAGTTGCTACAATAAGCTATTCTTTGCTCGGCTCAACACTACTGCGCAGCCCTCTTGTGTGAGGTGTCATTACCTGTGTACTGAGCAGCAGGGCTCGCACGACGGCGAACATGTGACTCATGACCCCACTTTCGCTGGGGCCTGCCAAAACCACCAAGTAGGTGATGCCGAAGAGGGGTATGAGCACCAACAATGCCTTGGCTGCTTTGCGATATTGGCGCGTTTCAACTGTGTTGGCGGATCGCAGTTTCGTTATCAACACCTGCAAATAGACACAAGCAAAAATATTTACCATAGTTGGTAACAAAATAGCGACTTTATGATGAAATGGGATTTGTTTAAACGATTTGCGAACGAAACTTGATTTGCTTAAAAGGGTTTGAAATATCAGCTTTTCATCGTAATTTACCAGTTTATCGTAAAAAAATGATAAGGAAAGAAAGAAAATTTAGAATTTCTTCGTAGTTTTGAGGTTAACAAAGATCGTAATTAAACCCTTAATAATAACAAAATTGGTGCCTTTGAGCTTTAAATTAAATTAAGCATCTTCGAAAAAATTAATAAATCTGCTAAAATACAAATCAGCTTGAGGGTATTATTTGAAAGAGTTGTGTGATGGAACCTCAAAAGAATTCGCTAGCAAACGAATTAGTAGGAAGGGATTCGTTTGACCTAGTTAATATGGGTCTTTCATGCAAATTTTAATATTCTTCAAGAAGGTTTGCATTTATTTCTGAAAATTTATGAAAGTTGTAAGGTAATGTAAATGTTCACAAAAGATTGCATTGGGAAGCAATCACCAACAATTTACTTTCTACGTCATACTAAACCACAATTCCTTCGGCGCCTAAAGCGCCATCTTCTTAACACAAGTTTGCAAACTGTGAGCAGCTTTTAAATATGATTTTTTTAAAACAAATTCTTAAAGAAAGAGAGTGAGAGTATATTTCCAACACAAGTAAATAACTTGAAAGATTTATGGGAAAATGTTCTGTTTACAGCTACGAATAAGACAGACTATTTGGTTTATAAATAAGAATGAAATTTATGATAAAGTAATAAATTTACGTATTATGCGCGTTTGTAGTGTTAACCATGCACTTGTGTGCATAAGTAGACAGAAAGGAGAAAACATATTTTATCCTTTACAATGGTTACTTTTAAATTTCGAACGAAACACTCTAAACATATAGCATAGCATATACTTGTGTATGTGTTTGTAAACGACTTCATTTTGCCTTTCGACTGCATACACAAACATTTTAACACATATTTACGCACATATTTGTTTTCCTAAAAAACATGCTAGCTTTCTAATTCAAATATTCTTGAATGGATATCGCAGTAAGTGCAGTCAAGGGATATATTTTTATACTTCAAGTAACAATCCACTAAAACATATACATATGTGTATGTACATACATGTGAGTTTGTTGTTATTCACTTCAAGAGCGAGCACTTAAAATAGAATGACTATAACTTTTTATTCGAGAAATGAGCTGTCATTGTTTACTTCATGGCGGAGGCGAGCTCAACAACAACAGTGTAACAGTGTAACAGTGTAATATCACAAGCAGGGGATGCTATCTATTTTGGCTATTTGACAACACTCAAGTACATGCTTTTGCACACATCATACATATATGTGTACCTAAATATGAGTTTAGATTTGTCAACGTGCTGTTAATACTCACCCACATGATTCTCAGCAGAAATATTAAATTCATTATCAACACCGCGCAGACTGGGCCTTGGAAAATCCAATCCACATGGGTCTCTCGCATCCAAGGGCAACCAATATCGAACTGTGTAAAAGTTTAGAATTTAGAAATTAATTAAAAATGTATCTAAAATTTTTTTAAATTTGCTGAGATTTAGATTAAAAGCAATCGAAATTTGTGTCAAAAACATTTAAAATCAACATAGCTTCTAAGCAACGACTGACCTTTTCCACATCGTAGGATATCGTAAATCCCTTGGCGATTGCCCAAACGACAACGAAACCGGCGGGTCCACCTAAACAAGAAACAAATAACGCAAATATTTAATTACATTGTTATTAAAATAATTAAATCAAATATCGATTCTAAAACATAAATCCATTAATTAATAATAAATGAAAAACAAGTAAGAAACGGCTAAGTTCGGATGTAAGCGAACATTTCACACATACTCTTTCTGAATCAAAGCTGGGAAATCCATTATGCACAACGATACATTGTTATTAGAAAAACACACTCTTTTAATTTCAGTAAAATATCTTACATGTTGACCCATATACGCGGTATAAAGGCAGTCGGAAGTTCGAAAATGTTTCTATTAGATGTATGGGTCTATTATTGATCTGTTTTAACCCATTTTTGACGTACAGACATTTTGCGAACTCGTAATAACAATTACACTCTGTCGCAACATGTTGCAAGAGTATAATAAAAATGACAGATGGTAGTAGTCATAGCAAATCGAATGAAATATTTTAAATGTTATTGTTCAAACAGCAAAGGTAACCCTCTAATACTAACATTTAGGTGAATACAACTATTCATACTGACCGTTGATTAATTTTTGAGATCATATTAAACAAAAATGGCTCACAAATGATACATTTATCAATAAATAGGCCTCAATGCCACCAATTGATCTAAAACGGACTTCAAATACGATTTTTGACCACATCCCGACGCTGTTTATCGCTTTTCAAGTAAACAAGTAATCCAAGTTCCACAAACAATTATTTCTCTCTTCGAAAAATTTTCAATTCATATACAAAGAAATTTGACAAAACGCTGCTAAACTAAAGTAATCATATAGTAGCTAATAGTTTTCAAATATTACGAACTTAATTGGAGTACGCCAAAAAGTATGCTTCTAAAAAAGTAATTCGAATACACATTTTGAGCAATTTTGCTAACAAAATTTATAGGTACTGGTGAATTCTGCTGAGTTAATTTCAAATTTCAATTACATAACTTTGTATGAAGGCATTTCGATCCAAAACGCTGAAAAAGCACAATATAGCTTAGCACCAAGTCAAAAAGTGTGTTTCGCTGTGTTTTTTTTGGGGTTGTAGAGGTAGAAACTTGCATATTTTTATTGCAAAACGGTTTTTTTTAACGCTGACATCAATATTGTAAAAATGAAATTAAATTGCTTTGCTCAGAATAATTGCATAACAACTAATGTGTGTATATTTGAAGTAAGGTCCTGTGTACCTGTTATTACCGCCTTCCAAACTAATTAGTGTGGCAAGGGTGAGTTCCGTTTATTTCCACATGAGCTCTGATTTTCAACGGTTTAATTTCGCGATAATTTACGCAACATTTGCCCCACAGAAAAAGATTTTATCTTCCACCCACTGAGCTGAGCAAAGCAAAAGCATGCGTTAATACATATTTACAAACACATGCGCCTATTTAATGCCGATTCAGCAAAATACAGTTTCCTCTTACAACACACACTACTACGCGCATATAGTGTACATACACACAAGCAGACTTTCATATTTACACACACAGCAAAATACTTGCGAAAACCATGTGTTATATAACTGTGAATACATATGTGCATTGGTGTAATAAATACTTACCCCAGCCGATGATTGCGTATATGTTGAAGCGTATATTATCGCCGGAAAATGTCTTCACAACCAGCATGTACAAATAAAGTCCTGTAATGAAGAGAGAGTTGAAAAGAAACAAATGAAATGAAATCGGAGAAGAAAGTGGAGATTTACGAGTATATTTCTGTTGATATAATTCCAATACAAATACGTATATTTATTCGTTCTGTCTTCTATATGTCCATATATTTATCTCTTTAAGCAAATACTAATAGTCGGAAATAACTGTTAATATATTGTATGCAAGGTGTTGCTTTGATAATGAAGTGTGGCTGACCAAAGGTCATTGTAGTATACTTATATGAGTGGGTGTGTATGTATATAAAGCAGAGCTGTCGCGATGAGGGCATTCCACTGCTTTGCGAAAACATTCGCCCAAAGAGCGCATATACACATACATATAGTATATTATAAGCCGACTAAACACAATGTATGTGTGCGTGTTTGTTGAGCAATACGCAAATCCAATTGATTTATTATATAAGTAACTGATTACTTTTGCAAATGCGATTAACAGTTAGCAGCAAAAATTCACCAAAGAAACTAAATATGAAGACTTCTATGTATGTATATATTATATACACGCACACACATATCTGCTTAATCAGATTACCACATCCCCAATTGATGAGTGCACACATATCATCGAATATTTGTGTGATCTTTGGTTGCTTACGCATGTTTATACACTCATTTATATTATTACACAATCACTTATGAGCGTACTGCTAATCTCGCTATAGATTCCCATCTCAATATAACACATTCCAGAATTCAGAGATTTTCCGGCAAAAGCTGAAATTAATGTTTTGTTTTTTTGTGATTGAATTAAGTACATTAATGAAAGTAATAACTTAGTTAATGCTGAACTTTTTGCTTGGAAGGAAGATAGCTTCGGCAGTCATCAAATAATAGAAATTGCTTATTTACTTAATTTATCTACAAGCATAAATAGCGTGTTGCATATTTGATTTTTATACTTTAGTCAGCATATTACATCTCATTTGAATAAGTGGACAAGGGAACATTTTAATTCTAGTTCAATAGAAAAAGCACAAATATACTTGTAAGTCAAACTTCAACTGCCGTTATGATATATTACAAACATCATTTCGATAACCTATGAGATTTTTTATAGAAGAATACTAGTTTCGTATACATTTATACATATATACTTGTATGGAAGTAGTATAATACCATATGTTCAAGTATAGACCTTCTTTCTAATGTCAAGAATTTTTTTGATTTCTAGAGTCTTAAAAAATATCGTCTCGGATATTGCCTCCAAGCACAGAGAGAACGTACGAGAAAATATATAAAACTATTAACCTTGACTTACCTTCAACAAGCATCCAGAAGAAATTGGTTAAGGTGAAGAAATGAAAGAGCGTGACAAGAACCACACAGCCTCCTAAGCCCGTTCGTATGGAAATCTGTTTTCAGTAAGTATATAAAAATAACTCTTTTTAGAATAGCGAGACTAGATAAGTAACTTGAATTATGCTTGGCTTGCAGTAATAATAATAAATATGCCCAGACTATAATAATCATTAGTGGAATATATTGTAGATATTTTCAAACGCATTTGCACTTTTATTTTTTAGATCAATATCTTCCGCGAATAAAGAAAAATAATTTTATTGCACGAATGACACACCCTCATACAAATGTAGATAACATACATATGTACTTTTGTATGAAGATTTTGTTCGAAATTAGAAAAAGCTACGAATATTGATGTGAGTGCACTTACATGTACGGACAAAGTCAGTATCCACAGCAACGCCGACATTATGTATGTGAAGAATAAATTGGCGTGAATTGAATTGCGTAAACAGCGTAATTCCCTACATCCGTTTTTCATTTCGTTTCGAATCGTTTCAGTTCGTTTTCGATTGCAAGCGCACGGTGCGGGTTGTGGCAATTGGAAGGAAATAAAAGACATCAATAGCAATGGCAGAGATACGCATAGCAAAATATCATAATAATAGCACAGCCAGCAGCAGCAGTAGCAGCAATGCAGTCGACGTTGAAGTTGGCGTTGGCGTAGCAAGCCGCAACGATGTAGCGCGGTAGCGGCGCAGAAATAAAGGAAAAGTGTAGAATTACAAGAAAATATATATATGTGTGTCTGTCTCTATGTATATATGTGTGTGTTAATGTGGTTACATATGTGCGCTGGGGTGCAAAGGAGCATTGGCAAGAGCTAGAATTTGTCGATTTTTCACCAAAAACATAAAAATAAAAAAGTGTGGGGTAATGCAACAAAGGTTACCATGGCTAATAGTTCGGCAATAAGTTCTGAAGGATCTTTGTAAAATTTCGTTTGAAAGCATTTACACACAACACTCGCTTGCAATGCCACATACATTTGTATCTGCTTAGAAGTTATTACATTATTGTTATTTTAATTTTATGTGGCATTAGAAGACAAAAAGATCGATTAGTTGTTTCCAAGTTATTAACTTTGTGTAAACAAGAAAAATAAGTTTGAAATTTGTAGACGCACGTATAAGTTGTAACAAAAACCATGCTGAAGCTTTGTTGCACTAAAAAAAATATTTGTAGTAAAATAAAACCACATGATTTCGGAAGTACTTCAGCACTATGACATTGAATTTATTGCGGAAATTCAAAAAATATAATATTTTAAGATTTATCAAATAAGGAATCTCACAAGAAGAAATCATACACGTACATTACTCTAAAACCAAGCCCTGAACAAATTTGTGTGAAGAAAACACTTCAAAATAAAAATAGCTTCTAATGTTAATTTATAGTTGCATAATTCAGAATTCATTATTACATTCACTCACATCACTTTTGAACATTTCTACGTAACTAATATTTGGATTTCCGACCAATTCATTTCTTCTAAAAAATGTCTAATTCAAACTTAATTGTAAAAGTAATACTCACTTGAAATATGCGAAGACAATAATCGCCAGTGTCAATGAGACAAAGCTGATGGTGTAACCGATGTAGTAAATTATCGTTGGCAACTCGATGATTGGTTCGAATTCAGGTACAGTCGAGGGCGCGGGCAGATGCATGCACAAGTCATAGTTTGTATATTTTTCCCATGTGCCATTGGCATGGCAAAAGCGCGTCGCATTCTCTGCAAAAGCATTTAACCATATTTTGTTTACAAATTATTATATAATATAAATATAAACTACACCATAAGACAAAATCTACTTTTTGAATATCGAAGCAAAATAAATTTTTTTTAAAACACTGAGTCATATGTAAAAAAATATTTTCTCCGTTTTTCCAAGTTAATCTCTAACATCTAAATATATGCCTTCGAATTTCAGCGGTGTCCTTTCTTCAGGATGCCATAAAATAACATAAAAAAGCGTTGTGTTATCTAACCAACCACTAACATCTAACATCTGCGATCTAGCGTTGATTTGAAAGCTGCAATCGGACATCGTATCTGACTATTATGATACGGCATTTATTCGTATCTGAATGCTGCGGTCTGACTATCTGACGACTCAGCTGATACGACCTATGTTATGAGAGTGCAATGTAAATGAACACTCACCAAACTTCAATATATTTGAAATATTCTTAAATTAACTCAAAACTAGTGTCGAATACAATTATTTATAAATAGGTAGACTATTTGTAATAATTGGATTTTAGTTTTGATGTTTTACGTAATGAAAAATTATAACTTAAAAGTCAGATGTATACAAAATATTGTATACATATTGAGCAATGGCAACATTGGTCAAATGAAAACAAAAGAGAACAACTGATTTATACAGGTGGTAAGTACGGAAGGGCGAAACGTCGGTGACTGTTTCCAGTATAATAGCTTTCAGCTGACATCAATCTGACAGTTCGATCTGACAGATACCATCCGTGTAACATATTTACTATAAGTTTATATGCTATTTTCCACAGATCAATTTCTATTTATGAACTAGCAAATGCTTTATGATTCTATGATAATGTTCTAGATAAATCTGCACTCATTTCATCAAGCTTTACTCTAAAAAAGTCAAGGGGAAGCAAATCACGAATAAGAAGAGTTAGAGTGTTTGAACTCATTCGTTACATTCAGTCCGCAGAACTTTAACTTTAAAATTTCGTTGTATTATTTTTTGCTTTCCATCTTCTATGTCACTTAAAATAGATCAAATTAAATACGTTCGCTTTTAATTAAGTAAAAATCCCACTGGTATTTGCGCTCAGCACTCTCAGCATATCCAAATAAGTGCGATGAGTACTGCTTATTAGGAGATTCCACAAAACCAATAACAAAGCCCCAGCACTCCCTGGGCGACGCAAGTCTATTGCCGTTGTTTGTTTATTGTGCCTTTCAACGCTTGCCGCTTTTGTCATACTTGCAGCTATGAAAATGTTGCTACTACAAAGTTAAAACATATGACGGCGCTGCACCTAAGGGCATAGAGACACACGTCATCGCGTCGTCTAAAGTATTGCAGAAGTCTAAAGAGTGCAGTCGCGTTGACATTAATTTGTGGCACAAGCCAACCGCATACTTGTGCAATTAAATGTACATATATACACGTCTAAATGCAAACACGTACGGTTGGCTGTCAGCACGTATATATATTATAGATTCCCCAAAGTGTGCATATGGGCCGCCGCATCCTTTGTTCGTATTCATTCGCGCATCGCACACATAACTGGGAATAGTTCCGAGCACACATGAACTCTCACACATGCACACAGTTACAAGTTTTCAATTTACTAACGGCACTTACGCGAGCTGTCGTACTGTATGCCCTGGAACTCATGCAGGCACGGCAGCGCCGCCAAAGTGCCACGCGACGTGCGCGGCCAACAAAGAATTGAGTCGAAGTGGGTGAGGCAGTAGGCGCTGTCATTGCCGTAGGTCGTTGTATCAATGTGCTGTTGCATCAGGCACTGCAGTTCGGTACTCTCATTAATTGCGTCGAGGCTGTCGTAGGACTCGAGCGGTGTTTCGTCAGAGCTCACGTTCAAATCTACATTTGCTCCTGTAGCCACACCCACACCCGCTTCCGCTACTTCGGGCGAACTCGACATGTTGAGCGGATTCAGTGCAAGCGAACGACTCACCAATGCGTCGGCAATTATTTTACTTGTGCCAGCGCTGTTGCTGTTGCTGTTGATGTTTTTACTGCTGCCGTGGGCTGGATTCGCGATGTTGTTGCCACTGAAGCTTGGAATACTATTACTGTTGCTTTGAGCGCTTCTTGTACTGTTGTACTGTTATCGCTGTCGCTGCCACCGGCATTAAGCGCAGTACTGTACAGCTGCTATTGTTGTTGCTTCCCGTGTTGATGCCGATGATTGAGTTGTTGCGGTTGTGCATCGTCGTTGTGAAGAAATCCGTACATTGCGTGTGCTTGTGAAGACCTGGAAGCGAAAAGCATAAAAACACTTCTTTAGTTAAGGATATTTAAAGCGTCGAATATTCAACTTTTTTGCAAGGTACGCATATTTTACGTTATGTGTTTACTATAATTAAAGGCGGTTGAAAATATGCATGGGCATACAAGTAAAAATACATAGAGAGCTTGTGGTCTCTTCCAGGGTAGTTTCCTCACTAAAGTGAGTTAAGTAATTGAAAATAAATACTTCTAGAACTTCGTCCTCCTTTAGAGAAGCTAAGCTGGCACTAAGCCCGATATCATTGCTATAAGGCTATTTAATTCAAAATGTGTTCAATGGCCAACTTCTAGTTCAAGCCAAATTCTACGGCACGCCACTTTTTGAGGTCAAATTAAGTTTCCCATGAAGTTTATAACATCCAGAAGGAAACATCAGAGACTCTATAAAGTATATATATAAATAATCAACTTGATGACGTTTACAAACATACAAATCAAGTTGTTGTATAAAAACTTTAGATTATTGTCTATAGATTATTTTTTAAGGACCACTATAACATATGGATGTCATGCAAAAATCAAGAAAAAGATCTTCATGAAAGATAGTGTTTGCTGATTAAGTAACCTTAGTTCGCTTTGAAGGTTGTTTCTTTCAAACAACGTGCCTTGAAAGAACTAGCAAAACGTTGTCCATTGGATGCGAAGCTGGGTCGGTTACGTTTACAAATTTAGTGATCATAAACATATACCTGTAGTGCCATAAGAATTTAACCTGTGAAGGATATTATAATCACGTGTCTAACGAAGTTAACGTTTTTTGTTTTTTGTTCAAAACCCCAAAACTTCACTCAAAATGGTATATCTCATATTGCTAATTGTCAATCAAAAGCTAATTGTGCAAAAACTGTAAAATCTATGCTTGTGTATTTCGAAGATTCATTATAATCAGAAAACGTACGGATTCATTTGTTGTGCGCCTAATCTTTCAGCATAAATTATGCTTTCACGTTTGAATTCCACTTCGAATCACCTAAACACTTTAGCAAACACACTTTGTACTGATTGAACAACAACACCAGTGTCCATTCATGGGTTACGTTTCACGGCATCTGAAATTGGCAATGGAAGCACAGAGCCTGAGAGACAGAGTTGTGGCTCAAAGTGCCGCACCAACCAATGAAAAGGAAATTCAATCAGATGAGTTTAACGTGTGAGGTCAGAAGTCGCTTGCTGTTGGGTGTGTGGAGGTGGAACGACGAGCGCCTGAGCTCTGAAAGGTGTTGTTATGTCGAAAGTGTGCACCAAATGCGGTTGCAGCGGCATCATTGCCATTGAACAGTCGTTGTGTGGAACTTGTTTGCTCGTTTGGCTGTTCGGTTGTTAGCTGATTGTTTGGCCATTATGGCGCGTTCAAGCGTTAAAGGGTACCGTTGTGCAACAACCACAAAGTGTAAAACAATTCGGCAAATATGTACAAATGCAAACTGAAACTGTGAACATGAATTTGCTGCGAAAATATCGAATAGTCAATTGCGTTGGCAGATAGTTGTGGCGGAATGGTGAATAAACTTGCAAACTTTAAATCAATGAAATTTAAAAAAAGAAACTCGCGCAATTAAAAAAAAAACACATAAAATAATTTCCCTGTAAAATAAACTGGCAAATACTTATTTTTCCAGCCAAATTGATCTGCCTCTAAGTAAATGGTGCGTTTATTTGCGTTAAAGCCATATTTTATATGAGCGATTTCAGCATGTTACAGCAACACAATTTTTATTTATTCACTGCTTTCGATATGCCATATACACATACTTTCATAAATGCACACACACATACATGCACGTCCACCTCGGATTGTTTAAAAATCGTGAAAGCGGCAAGCATAATCGATTTATTAAAAAACTACATGCGAATAAATAAGTGGATTTTCGCCATTTTCCCTTTCGGCTCGCAATCTTTCGCCCTTTACAGCACGTGCTACTTACAAGTGTTAAAGTGAGCGCACGTTTTCATTTATGCGTACGTTTAAAGCCGCTTTCGTTATAAAGCTTTATGGCAGCTTGATCTCATCAATCGCTATATACCTTTCCGTTTACTATTTTTGCTTTGGAACTGTTTCAAGTGTGCAAGCCATTAAAAGGCATTGCATCGCTAAATGAGTTGCAACTACTGCGAATTTGTAAAAATAGCGGTTCATCAATTAATAATTTCATTTATAATAATCATTTTTGTATGTGTTGATATTGTCACAATTCTGCCTGTGTCAACTGTGTTCACGCTTAATTCCATTTCACCTAACTGTCATCCCTCGTCTTGATAATCTCTCAACTGCACGTTTGCTTGAAATTTCATACTGAACAATGTGTAATATACTTTCAAATATGTGTGACTAATTCAGTAGTGGTGGTAAAACCTGCATACTTATCCGTGTCTAAGACATTAAGGTTGCAAAGAATCTCGGTAATTGAAGGAAATAAAAGATTGGTTTAAAATTTCGATGTTTTGATTTTTCCTATTTTATAGAGGAGAAATTGCTTGTAGTGATTCTGGTGGTGAATTATGTTGAATTCTGAAATATGGTTTCGTCAGTCTTCCGCGTTTTGTTACAACGGCATTATATGGCCAAATATGCAAGCCTTATAAATTTTCTTGTCCAAATGAGGCCTCGTTTAACTGCTCAATTAAATGTAAACACAAATAAAGTCAAGCAGTCAAATACTTCAGCTCGCCATTGAAATAACTATGGAAACTCATTTACATAATTGCCCAAAATATTATGAAACTTAAAGCTGTAGTTACCACCAACAAACCATTCAAGTGAAAGGCAGACTGTTCTCATTCGTTAGAATAAAATTGAAGAACATTTTATTTATTTGTTCTCTTTAAGAATTAGATGAGATTATGTTATTATATTATATTCCTTTAAGTTTTCATATATATATTAATTTATCATATACGAGTGGATCGCAATAATTCCTACTTCTTCATTTATCAAGGAATTGTGTGCATTTTTCTTCTGTTTGTCTCTGGCAAGTAATTCGGAGGCGTCTTAGTGACTGCGGTATTTCTTTTCTGCGATTAATAAATTACTTATATTGGTGTGCTGAGTATCCTCTTTTCTTATTTAGCCGTAAATGTATGTAGAAATCTTTATATTATTCAATTTGGTATTTGAAAATGTATGGGTCTATTCTTTTTTTGTAGTGCCATAGCTCTCATTTGATTTATGTCTGCTCAGTGAGTATTCATTTGCTTTAGCAGTAGAATTATAATGAAAAAAAACTTATAATAACAGAAAAAATTGATAATAATATAGTTTCGATATACTTTCCCGCATTTCTAATTAGTGACAGCATACCAATAAACGATTACAAACTAAAGCGGCTACAAAATGTTCAATTATTTGCTATCTATTTCAAATTTCTCTAAGTATGCAAATCTGCTTACTGAGAAGTGTTTTGCTTAGATATTTCATCAAATGTACTCACTTTTAAGGAGTTACACGGCGTATGAGTGATATCTGTGTTGAGAGCTCCCTTTTATCTAGTACTACTCAAGTTCACCACCCAGTGAGAGTTTCGTTATGTAAATGTAAATTAGGGACCTAATTAGGTAATACAAATTTTTGTAAATTAAGACTTAAGAGTATATATGTATACACTTGTGCATTTAAAAAAATCGACTTTTTGTGCATATATATCTTGTGCATATTTGAGAATATTCTCAGAAAATTTGAAGTTGATCTGGCAAATAAATAGTAGCGGATATATGAGTGTATTTGTAAGAACGGGAACAAGCGAATCCCAAATTATTGAAAATTAATCACGTATTATTAAAGCACATTAAATACTGTAAATGCACGTTTTATTTATTTTTTATTTATATATTTATTTATTAAAAAAATGCTTTAAAAAAAAAATTTAAAAAATTGTCTGACTTGCAAGTGGATATAATTCCTTTATAGCTTTAAATTGTAATGAAAATGTATTACTTCGAATAAATTGATATCACTTCACTTTACAATACTTGAAATGTTATGTATGTATAACTTGAGTAAATCCTTCGCCTAGCCAGTCAATTTGCCAGCTAAAAACATGCTAATACAAAAAGCCTATATTTTAAAATTCATTAATATGGTAATAGAAACCGCAGTTGATTCGGGGACAGGCATTTTTAATGCAATTGAGTAAAGTATTGAAAGTGAAGCTTCATAGCTTTTGTGCTAATGCATTAATAACTATTTTTAAATATAATCCTTCCATTGCATTTAGCAAAGCGGTTTTGTAAATGAAAATGCTTGTCGAGCTGTTATTAAGCGTGATTAATCCACCAATAATTCCACCACTTATTAGTGTCATATGTGGTCAAAGCTTTTACTGACACTTGCTTAATGTAAGTGTTTTCCAACTTTTTTGCTATCGCTATCATGCCACTTAACTACAAAATAAAATATGCGCTTTCGAACTTAACGGCAGCAATGCAGAGAAATAAAGCACTTGGAAAAATGGTGAGTGGGCGGCTTTAGTTGGTGTGCTCAAATTATGCTTTTGTTTGTACCCCGCAATGCCAACGCCTTCGATTCATCCGGGCGCAGATAACTGTCGTCGCATTTAATTAAGCATTAAATATTCGGTATACCAGCACGCCCCGCCGGTTCGCCGCAAAATTTGCAAGTATCACAGCCTTCTTTGCGCTTTCACTACCAGTTGTTTTCATATGGCTTTAGCTCTACTGCGGAATGTACCGGTATATAAACTTTGAAGCACAAGTGTCTGAGCACTCCACTTAAACTAGCAAGCTTTAATATCTATCAATGAATACCAACTCGTCAATAAGATAATATAATAAGGCACTCAATGGTTAGACATAACTGTACATTACTCAGGAGCAGCGGACTATCAATTACTAAAGCCACTCATAACCAGTCAGGCGAGCGAAGGAATGCGTTCAACCAGTAAAAGCCCCGTTCACCCATAAAACAGCGGTTAGGAAGTGCTTTGTTCAGGCATTTTACCCTCAATCCAA